GCCCACACAGCATCTCTGGCAGAGCAGATGACAAGGGGGTTGGCATGCTCAACTATGCAGAGCATGGATGAATTAGTGGAGATGGACTGCTGCCAGCGCAAGAACAAGACCAAGGACGAACAGTGGTGTTGCAACATGTGCAAGAGCGTCTACTGCTACCATTTCTCCTGCCTCTACAAGATTGTGCACCATGGGATCAGATTGTGCTGTGCAACATGCACTTGAGCTATAACTACCTACCAGTGCTACATAACAGATGGCAATTGTGAGGACTGGGACAATCATTAAAGGTTGTACACAGGTCAGCACATTTTTTATTGATTCTGGGCAAGATCCTCAACAATGGCCATGCATCTCCTCCCAAAGGATCCAACAGATCACCATCCAGGTATTGTCAAGATGTGTTACAATCAGATCTCATAGTGGTCACCATCCTGATCCTGCACCACCAGCTTCTTGCCAATGAGCATGATGAAGTTGAATCCAATGATCTTGGTGATGGCAAAGAGGGCCACAGTGAGCACCAATAGCAGCCATCACCAGTGGCTGGGGTTCATTGTGGGGCAGCACAAAGTGCTTAATGATGGATTTGAAGACGTCACCCCAGAGCAAGATGACAAACCACACAATCACAATGATCACGAACGGTTCCCAGGTGTTGAGGTGGATGTGTGTCACCACCATTGTTCCACATGAGTCAACACAAACATGGAGTGGAGCCAACAACACAACACACATAAAAACAACACACAAGCACATGTCAGCCAACACAGAAGACACACAATGCTACAGCAACTCAACAACGCCTTTGAGCGCCTGGGGCTCACCAAGGGGAAGCACATGCTCTTTGCGCTTGGCCAGTGCTGTGTAGACGTGCCCAGCTTTGCCATGGCCACCAGCCTCACCATCCTATTGGCAGCTGTCAGACCCATCTGCTCATGTGCCTTCTCAAGGAGGCAATTGTGTTTGGCCAACAACACAAGCTCATGCACATCAAAATCTACAAACTTGCCAACAGCTGGAGCTGTGTGTGGATGGTCACTGATGAGGTGCCCAAGTATGACATTGACAACTCCAAGCACAACCCACAGCTCATCGCCAACATCATCACCAACGCCACACAATTCCAGAAGCAGCAAGCATGTTACAAGACCAACTCTGTGTGCTGGAAGCGTGGCTACCTGCTGCACAGACCACCCAGCACTGGCAAGACAACACTCATCCAACTCCTGGCCAGCTACCTCAGCATGGATCTCACAGTCACACCATTCAGCAGCACAAACAACATTTCACAGAGCATCACAAACCTGCCCCAGAATACCATACTGGCCATCAAAGACATCAACTGCAGCATCACCAGGCGCGCCACACCTGCGTTTGGCCAGCTCCTCAACGTTTTGGACAGCATCAGTGGCAGCAGCAACAGTTGCATCATCATCATCACCACCAATCACATCAGCAAGCTTGATCTGGCACTTATCCAACCAGGGCAAATGGACGTCACCTTCAAGGTCAGGATGCCCAACAAGGAGCAACTCCACACCGCCTACTGTGCCTACTTTTGCAACTGCCCCAAGATGCGCCCACACATGGATCTCAAGGCACACACATTCAACTTTTCTTGCATGCCAGAGGACATCCTCAACAAATCAAAGCAATTTGTGATGCTCATCTGCAAATCCAGATCACAGGCATCAT